GACCGCCCAAATAGCGTGGGCAGTGGCCGCAGTTGAAAAGGTATCAGAATGTCCAGGCGCACACCAGACCCCAGGAATATTCTAGAAAGACCGGAACCATTTAAATATACCGGAGTGGACAAGCTGAAGGAACCCAAAAACCTCGCTTTCTTTAAGTGGTGTTAGATAGAGTCCTTGCCCAAAAGAACCGCTTTCTTGCGTTCTTCTGCCTATTAGTCGGGTTAGAACAACTGGGCTATAAGAACTAGTATGCATTTTTATCACCAATTTTACGGAAAACATTCCTGTGCTCGTTTGCTGAAAAAGCACGCCTCCTTTAAATTTTATTCTTAAATAAGGGGTACCTTTCTGTTCTAAAAAATTCCAATTATGAGACTTTTTACGACTCTGAGGTGTCCATTCGTTATATATCGTATCCTCCAATTTATTAATGCTGCCTATAATGTAAACAGCATGATCCACATCTATTGCAAAATTTCATGAGAACTATTTGAGGTCTTCCTCAAACCGTAAGCAAAAACTAAATTTTCTTAAACAGGATGTATACAGCATAAAGTTTGGAAACATTGAATTCAGGTCCAGCAGTCGGTAGGTTTCAAAATTATTCGGCAATCTAGAAACTTTTTTAAAACTGAAAGAGGCGCTTTTTAAAGTATAAATTTAAAGAAGGTGTAATTTGCTACGAAACGAGTACAAAAAATAATATTTTCGTACATGTTCTTTATAAAGTATATTTGAATTTTAAATGCAGTCAAAATCAATGATAAAATTCACACTTTTTAAGTCGCCATTTTTACAGAATCTACTCTTTCTAAGCGGTCAGGAAGAAGCTAATTACAAAGCCGGCATCCTGAAGTGACTGAAAAGGCTTGAAATTGGGCTGCACGATGATCAGTATTACCACCCTACTTAGTGTTAATTTGCGAGTGATTACCAGTATTTCGCAAATTGCGGCATTTTGCTTCTAGCACTCGCCATACGGTAGATCATCTTCCTCTTCGCCTTCTTCGTCATTTTTTCCCAATTATTGTTGGATTGTGGCGGCTATACGCATCACAAAGCAGCAAACAACAGTTGCAAGAGGTCTTCTGAGTCAGCGTTCCCCTTCACTGCCTCTCACTTGCATACGCTACATACGCAAAGGGGATTGAAGCGCATTGATCCATACGAGGGCTTAGTGTGCTGGGCACAAATGCTCTCTTTACCAGGAGTCCAGCATTTAGGTAGTCAAGCAGGCAGTAGAAAATGTATATTAGGCTCAGTTGCTTGATGGGGCCGTAATTGTTTTTGGCGGGATTGATTTTAGAGGCCTTAAAAATACCGCCGACTAATAATAAAAAAACTAACTAAAAAACTTTTAAATGTTCGGTAGCCCGACTTTAATTTTTTTCGTTAAATTCCACCAATAGGAGGACGAATTTCCATTTTCGTAAATTACGCCTACATAAGGTCGAAGTTCCCCCGATTGGCATTCGTATCCTGCGCAACAAAAGTTTATGTTGATCGAATTTTATTCTATTTTAGCATATGAACCAAACATAATCTTATTTAACTTAATATATTTTTTGATCACTTCCGCCACAATTACATATTAACTTACGCCCACTAGCCAATGATTAGCGAGATCGCGTCTTCCTCTGCCTTACAAGAATTAAATGTTTGACCACAAAATAAGTTAAGCAGTTGGGCGGGGGGATAGATATGTAGACGGGCACTACAAATCAATGTTGCCTTGTTTTTATACTCATCGGTCCGGTAGCGCGTGTGTTTGGACAATTTTCCGCAAATGGTGCATCAACAGGAGTTTGTGGCAACATTTGCAAAATATTAAGCATTCGGGCGACTAAAACACGCTGTCAAACGTCGGGCAACCGTATTGAAAGCGAACACAGGCGGGGGGATTATCTGTTAGGAAGGTGGGGAGGGCGGAGGCTTTCACAATCATCATATGTGAACCCGACTAAGAGACCAGTTCATGACCTAGGAAATGCTGGGAGAAATGAAGGTTATAGTATCGTTCATAGTCAATTTTTAAGCCTAGAGTAAACTCCACTGTTGGAATCAACGAGTAATGTGTACTTAAGTCAAGAGTGGTATGATTCATCGCCAGCTGCTGGCGGTGAAGAAGCGAGTGTGGCCGCCGGTCCTTGGACACCGCAGTCGGTCCAGTGTGTCTTGTTGTGTGTAGTGGCTGTCTGCGG